CGCCGGCGGACCCCGCTCCCCCGGGCTGGGGCCCGTCCGTCCCGCGGGAGGGGCCGGGACCGCCCTCCGGAGGTGCCGTAGCCCTGTCGAGAAGTTGCCGGTCTCTCCTCCGCCGGGTTAGCGCCGAGCTCCCGCGGGAAAGGACAGCACCGACCCCGGGAGGCTGGACTGTCTCCGCTCCAGGCTGGGGAGATCCGCCTCTCGTCCTCCACAGCTCGGGGCGGGCGAGCCGGGGCGGCGGGAAGCGCTCGGCCCCGTCTCCTTTCTGAGCCTCGGGTGCTGGAGCATCGAAGCCGGGAGCTGCTACGAGGCAGCAGGCAGGAGGAGGCGAGCGCAGTTGCTCCCCCATCCCGGTGTTAGGTTTGCCTCGCTTTTGTCCACTGACTGCTGGAGTATTAGGTGTCCTCTCCTTCACACGTAAAGCCAGAAGCGGTGTTCAGCTGGTCTAAACCAAACCAGGCGCTTTATGTACCACCTAAATACAAAAGAGCCTCTGGGGTGGAAGCTGTTGAGCTCCACAGCAAATTAGACTGCTCTAGCATGTCTGGCATCACCAGATTCCCCAGGTGAAGCAAGAAAAACTTGAGGTGGGGCTATAGTAACCGGTTGGGAATTTGTGGTACTAGTGCTCATCCCTTCCTCCTTTTTTAGGGAGAGAAACAGTAAGACAGAAGGAGGGGGGGGAACATAGTAAATCAAAACTTTCGGCCGCTGTCCCAGCACTAGGTTGGAAGCTTGTTTCAACTGTACTGTAGCCATTGGTACCACTGCCTGCAGCATCTTTATTCTTTCCAAAGGTTTTCACTTCCAAACAGCGCACAGTGGACATCAGTGTGTGTCTGACTGGGGACAAACTGATGTGAGGTAAATGACGGTGTTGTATGCATACAAAAAAATGTTTTCCTAAATGGCCCAGCTTATAATTATGTCTAGTTTTAATATAACAAGAGTAAGTTCCTACTTGACTTTGTGATAGTCACACTCAAGTCCCTGTATTTGCCCGTTTCCTGTGCCACGGCTTGTGTTCAGAGTTGAATACAAGTTGCTAATGACAATAATATTTGCCGATCCCTTCCTATTGAGCTAAACAAATCACATAAAAGACAAAAGTTGTACCTTTCCTCTAGAGGCAGGCCAGTGCCTGGCTCTCGCCTCACACCTGGAAGCCGTGAGAATCCACAGGTCCCGCTGCAGGAACTGGTGGGGCTGTGGAGCTCTTGGTCCAGGCGATGCTGATGTTCGCAGGCGAGTTGTGTGAGCAGCAGAATGAGCGAAATCTGACACTCTGCAAACTCGCAGTGTCTCTGTCTCAGTCGCCCCATCGCACAGATCCTGCGTGCTGTGGTAACCGTAGCTGTCTGCCCTCCTCCCCGGCGACACGCGGGTGTGCTGCGCTTAGGCTGGAGCGTGTGTGGAGCAACTGCTGCCAAAGGGAAAGCGTAATGACGGAGTTGTACCTGCCCTCCCCACAGGCAGGAACTTGGATCTGCCCTCTCAACTGCTGGTACACTGGTGGGAGTTTCGTTATCTTTAAGACTCTTCCCTCTTTCAATCTGAAACCGATTCAGAAGCTTGTGGGAATGAAGAGAGGAGAAACATGCCAAGTGGACATAGTGTGTGATCACAAAATTTCTTTTTCTCTTGGAAATAACTTACTTATGAACTGAACCAACTTGATAATCAGTGATACCGTATTACTAAAAACAGCACACGTGGAGTCTGTAATGGGATTATGTAGAGAGAGTTGGTTTTCAATCAGAACTGGTTTTGAAGGCTGTGGTCTGACAAGTTGCTTCCCAAAGCAGGAAGAATAAGACAGAAAATTAAGTTTACATTTTTGCACGGGCACTGTTTGTGTGTTGTATCCCTCAGCTGAAACCTGCTGCTCACTCAGGACAGTGTACAGAAGCCACTGGACACTTCCATGGATCTGGTTTCTCAGATTGTCAAAAATCCACCAAAAATACCAGGGCATATTGTTGACTCACATGTGCTCTGAAAGACTCACTGAAATATGTGTGAAGTCACTGACTGCTAATGCAGCTTCTAGAAGTTCTGTTCTCCAAATCCCTTATTCTGTTCCCCTACAAGTGCCCTCTAAGAGCTGCCATGAGATTACTGCAGTGGCGGGTAACTCCATCCGTCTTCCCTTCCAGTGTGTGTTACGTTCCTGGGAAGGTTCTACCAGAGTCTAAAGGACAACGATGTTGAGTTCACACCTGCCAGTATTGAAAAGGAGCTCTTGAAATCCTGCAAAGAAGCAAAAGGCAAAGAGAATCGCCTGGTAAGTAGTAGTAGTCAATGATACTTGCCTCTTGAGGGAATAAGTTGTAGAATACTTGGCAAACAATGGGAAACTAGTGCTTCTGAGTTTGCATGATATGGCTTCCCAGGGGCTGTTCTTCCTAGCTCTGTGGCCACAGTTGGTCCTGTATTTTTTAGAAGGGAAGACTTGAGGAGTTTGACCTCTTCACCTTAAAAAACAGTCTGTCAACAGACATCTTACTGCCTGCCCTTGTTTCTCCTTGTTACTGAAGCACTGGGGATTACAAAGTTTTTATTTGCTGTAGGACTTCCTTGTCCCTTAAACTGTATTTGGGGTGCTATGTAAGCTGTTAAAATATTTATGCTCTTTGGCTGTTTAGCTGAAAACTAAATAAAGGAAAACCAAATTGCCCTAACTAAAACCAGAAGGCAATCTGCAAATGAAGAGCCCCAAGGAAAAGGCCCTGAACTCTCCTAAGAAGAAAACTGCAGAGAGACACCATCAGAAATGCAGAGGGGGAACGCTTCAGAAAGTCTTTCTCCTTGAACGAAGACTTTATTCTTAATCCAGTTTGATTTTTTAAAAAGTCGAGAAACAAGACAACCAGCCTCAACAGCTTTAAAAGCAGCGTGATGGGAAACGTCTGCTCAGTACCCTGGGCTCAGAGTTAGGCTTCCTTTTGCCTGTCTGTAGCGGTCACTTGGAAAGATTCTGTAACAGTAAACATCTAGCTGCAAAACCAAGTGAGGGGAGAAGATGGATAGAAAACTCACCTTTTAGAAGCATTTTTCCATGCATCCCCACCTCATTCTTTTCTTCCCTCTAGTGCTATTATGTTGGGGCCACAAGTGATGCAGCCACCAAAATCATTAACGAGGTATCAAAGCCCATGAGTCATCACATCCCCGTGGAAAAGATCTGTGAGAAACTAAAGAAGAAAGACAGTCAGATCTGTGAACTAAAATACGGTGAGTTGCCAGCATAAGGGGAAATGCCCATGCTTTTCCAGGGTATGGATCATTTGGGGTAAAACAGAATGCTAAAACTACTCAGTTCTAAGTTCTGTAGCAAGATCGCTAGCCTAATTATTAGGTTGCACAACCTGGGTTGTTCTCCATGAACATCCCAAGAGTTTTATGGAGATGCTCAGGTAAGATTGTTGGCTACTAACCCTTTCTAGCTTCTGCAGAGCCACTGATCTGCCTTGCAATAAGTAACTCCCAGGTGTATCAGCACTACTGCGCTCAAATCACTGGAATATCGTCTCTAGAAGAGCGTGCAGTAAGGCTTGTCCTGGGGAGCAGCCAGGTGCGTCCTGCGGCCTGGGTTCGAGCCTCTAGCTGAGCTCTTACGTGTGCCAGCACCAGGCTGATAAACTTCTTTCTCACCTCCTCCGCTGTCTGCTCAGGGCATTTGGTGCTCTGTTTCTTCCCACCTTCCTTGAACTCTCGCGGTCCTAGATGACGTACTCTTCCTGAAAAGACTAATGTGAAGAACAGTGTTGGAAATGCCTCCTTCTGACTGCTTGCCTCTGTCTCTGTCCTTACATTCCCTGGAAACACCCCTCGGATTGTGGCTCATTATACTTCTCATTTCTCATAGTAATGTCCTGTTGCTTCCTGAAAAGCTTTTTGTTGTTGTCACTTGCTTATCTTTCCTCTGAAATCACTCTGCTACCTTTTATTTATCCAGTGGAAGAGAGAATTAAAGTATTGCTGCTCATATGATGAAGGGGCTTTCAGGGCTATTGTGGAACGCCTACATCTAAGCTGCAACCAAACTTCCTGGCTTCTGATAATGACTTTTAGTGTTAAAAACCTTACCGAAAGGCTAACTTAGGCGTTCCTTCCACCCCCGGGAGCCCGGCACCTCTCTCCCTCTTGCGTTGGGCTTCCTCGCCTCCCGTACCGGCGGTCTCC